ACACACACACACACACACACACACACACACACACACACACACACACACACACACACTGAGTGCCAGGTTAGGACAAGTGAGTAATCTAAGTTGATTCTTGTGTGATTGTGTGCTGCCATTTTCCTCAGTATGGAACAAAGTGAATCTAAGGACAGAAAAATGGTTATTGGGATCATCCAGCATGTACTTACAAAAGGAGGAATTAAGGCAAATACTAGTCAGCTTTCAGATTTTCTCCATTTTGTGCAGTCAGCCAACCCCTGGTTCCCGGACCAAAGAAGTTTAGATGTAGAAAGATAGGATACATAGGAATATATTTTAAAGATTAGTACACTAAGAATGGAGGTAAAGTCATGCCCCCTGCTGCCTTTGCTATTGGAGTGAAGCAGCCGGTGCCAGCTTCTGCTCCTGCTGCCCATGAGGGAACTTCCTTGCTGTCCCCCTTTCTCAGGATCTAAAAATATATTGTTCTTTTGATAAAGGCTCCCAGTGAAGATAGCTCAGGACAGGATAGTGATGGAGCAGGAGAGGAGAAACTGACTTTTGGAGAAGAGTTTAACTTGGAGGAGAAGGCAGCAAAGTATCATACTTCTGACTGGCCTCTCTGGCCATCCTAATGCCTCCTGAAAAATGTGAAAAGAAAGGGGCCTATGTTGTGCTGTGCTCTCAGGGTGGATTACTGGGGTTTTTAAAAACCCTAAGTAATTTTCAAAAACTCCTTGGAGATGTAAATTAGATTCATCTCTTTGGAAAAATAACTGCAACTAAATTATAGTCTTTATAATTTGCCAACCTCTGTAGGAAAGCTGATCCAAAGTCCTTGAGAGAATTGACCCTGAAACTAAGGCTTCTTTAACCCTCCCAGAACCAGATCAGTCCTGTTCTCCTGCAGTGCTGCTGTTTATAGTTGGCTCTACCTCAGGTCCAGCTGCTTTAAACATTGATGGTCATTAAGACTCTTTCCCCACACAAGAAACCTCTAAACAGTGGGTGGAGCTGATGGCATTAATTACTGTCTTTAAGAGACTAAACAGTAAGCCTTTTAATCTGCATACTAACTCACAATATGTAATCAGGGTTTTTCTTCATACTAAAACTGCACAACTTCTTTCTGCTCATTCCACTCTACTTGCCTAGCCCCCAGAGCTGCAAGCCTGGCTTCAGTCTAGGAGTCACCCTTTCTCTGTGGGACCTGCTCCAGCTCTTTCTATGCCTCCTGGTCCTGTGCATGAAGAAAAGAGTTAACTTGATTCCTTGACAAGGGCTGTTGCCTTCTCTCTGCAGGCAGCTCAGCAGAGCCATACATTACATCACCAAACTCCTGCTGAGCTCTGTTTTCAGTTTCCTCTTCCCCCTCAAAGCTGCTCTTGTGCTCCTGTGGAACTGCTCAGTGTGTTCAGCCCCAGTGTGCGCTCTCCCCATGCGACTTCATCCCCTGCCATTCATACTTATTCTCATGTCGTTTGTGCTTCTGCTAGATCTGGAGAAGCTTTCAAGGATGTGGTAGAATATTTGTTTTACAAGTTTACAAGGTCTTTGAAAAACAGACAATGCTCGTATTTATACCACTAACACTTTTTTGTTTGTTTGATTTTGGTTTTTCAAGACAGGGTTTCTCTGTGTAGCCCTTGTACACCAGGCTAACCTCAAACTCACAGAGATCCTTCTGTCTCTGCCTTGCTTAGTGCTGGGATTAACCACTGAGGCTTTTTAAAGAAGATGGTGTTTGTCTTTCAATATCTCACAGTCCACTGTCATGCTCTGTTATCCCCAAGGAAAAGCAAATTGTAGAGAGGAGCACATTAAACTTTAAAGACTCAAATACTTAACCTACAAAGTAAAGATTATAAATATTCATCTCCTCATCATATTTAAACCATAATTAATGCTATCAATCATATATCACAGAACAAAGTATAAGTCCTTTAAAAACATTTAAAAATAAAATTTACTTTTAAACCTCTAATAAAATAAAAAGACCTACTAACCAGCAGTGGAAAGGACCCGATGTTTTACTCCAGGAGAAGCTTTGCTTGCGTTTCCACTGGACGCTGATCCAGCTTTGTGGTTGCCAGACCAGTTAGTTGACAGTGACAGGATTTCCCACACTGACCTGGAGGCAGAGAGTTTCGATTCTTCCTCTTTCTCCCTCCCCCTCCACTTCAGCCAGCTTAATGAGTGGACATGCATTCCAAGGATTTAAAGTAGAAATGACTGCTTTATATAAAAGTTTAGATTTTTTTCCCTCGTTTTCTCTATCTTCCAATGTCCATCCAGTTTGCCTTTCTGAATGAGGATTCAGCATCTTACCCAGGGTCCTCCTTCTTGATTAGCTTTCATATGTGTACAGATTTTAGTATGTTTATCCTATATTATATGTCTAATATCCACTTATACATGAGTATATGCCCTGTGTGTCTTTCTGCTTCTGGGATACCTCACTCAGGATGGTCTTTTCTAGTTCCTACCATTTGCCTGCAGATCTCAGGATTTCCTTGTTTTTAATTTGCTGCACCCACGCCAGTGTCGCCATAGTAGCATGTGCTACAGGGCGGGAGACACGCTTTCTTTGGATATTCGCTCCCTGGAAGGTCCCTGGCAGACCCCCCCATCTGGCAAAGAGACGCGTTCTGAGATTTCTACGCTTTTTCAGTTGCGGTTCTGGGGCTGGATTAATGAGTTTTTTGATCTCTGTGACTCCTCCTGAAACAGTACAACTAATTTTATAAAGAAATTTATCATTAGTAAATTATTAAAGGCTTTAATAAAGATAAAATGTAAAAAGAATAAATTTAAGAAAAGTAATAAATTAGATTTAGTATCAAAAGGCATTATAGGAATAGTAAAAGAAATAATGGGCTCCTTCTTAAGAAAAAATAACATGAGAAGTACAGCTGGCACGAGTTTACCCCTCCCTTCAGCATCTTGTTCCTAGGGAAGATCATAAATCGTTAGCAGGACATAAGGGAGAATGGTTGACAAAGGTGTGTTTAGACTTTGGCAGGTATTCGACTTGGCTCGGAGGACTATTACAGCTCCTGACTTTCCTCTTCACTAGTCAGTGATAATAAAACTATAGTTTGAGGTTTTTGTTTCTTGTTTGCGTTGATCAGAAAGTTTCTAGGCAAAGATTTCTTGTGGGCACTGCCCTATGTTAAAACATAAACTTTGTATTCTTGGTAAAAGTCTGAATGTTCTGGAAAGCATGCCAATTTTAAGGTGCTTCCTTGTGAGATCACTATAAAAATATTAGCTTGACTTCAGTAAAATTGCAACAGATTCCAAAGCCTCAACTGGTCTCTGTCTGTCAATTCGCTGAATTCATGTCTTCCTGTTCAAAGCCTTGTTCTCCCGAGGACGCCGGGAGCCCAACCGGGCTGGTCCGTGGCATTAATTGCTGAGTAGTATTCCTTTGTGTAAATGTACCACATTTTCTGCATCCATTCCTCAGATGAGGGACATCTGGGTTGTTTCCAGGTTCTGGCTATTACAAATAAAGCTGTTATGAACATGGTTGAGCAAATGTCCTTACTGGGCACTTGAACATATTTGGGATATATGCCTGGGAGTGGTATAGCTGACAGGAGCCACAGAGGGCCTTTGAAAGACTCCACCCAACATTGTATCAAATCAGATGCTGAGTCTCATAACCAAATTTTGGGCAGAGTGCAGGAAATCATATGAAAGAAGGGGGGGATAGAAAGACCTAGAGAGGACAGGAGCTCCACAAGGAGAGCATCAGAGCCAAAAATTCTGGGCACAGGGATCTTTTCTAAGACTGATACTCCAACCAAGGACCATTCATGGATATAACCTAGAACCCTGTGCAGATGTAGCCCATGGCAGCTCAGTATCCAAGTGGGGAATAGGGACTGTCTCTGACATGAACTCAGCGGCTGGATCTTTGATCATCTCTCCCTGAAGGGGAAACAGCCTAGCCTGGCCACAGAGGAAGACAATGCAGCCAGTCCTGATGAGACCTGATAGCCTAGGGTCAGATGGAAGGGGAGAGGACCTTCCCTATCAGTGGACTTGGAGAGGGGCATGGGAAGAGATGATAGAGTGAGGGTGATACTGGGAGGGAATGAGGGTGGGGACTACAGCTGGGATACAAAATGAATAAACTGTAATTAATATAAAGAAATAAAAACATTTAAAAAAGTTTAGATTTTTGATTATTTTATTTATGTATTCATTCATTCATTCATTCATTCATTCATTCATTCATTCATTCATTCATTTTACAACCTGATCCCAGCCTCCTCCTTCTTGTCCTCTTAGTCCCACCCTCATGGTCTCTGCACCCCTTTTCTCCTCTCTTTCTTCTCAGAGAAGGGGAGACTCCCTAAGGGGTACTAACTCATCCTGGCACATCAAATTGCAGCAACACTAAGCACATCCTCTCCCACGGAAGCCAGGCAAGTCAGCCCAGCTAGGGGAAAGGGATCTAAAGGCAGAAAACAGAGTCAGAGACAGCCCCTGCTCCCATTGTTAGGGGACCTACATTTTACCAAACTGTATATCTGGTATAAATATGTACAGGGTTTAGGTCCAGCCCAAGCTGGGTTTAGGTCCAACAACCATGGTTGTTGGTTCAGGTTCTGTGAGCAACATGGCCCAGTCTAGTTGACTCTGTAGGTCTTGTGGTGTCCTTGACCCCTCTGGCTCTTTCAGTCTTTCCTCCCACTCTTTCCCAAAACTCCCCTAGCTTGGCCTATTGTTTGGCTGTGGGTTTCTGCCTCTGTTTCCGTCAGCTGCTGGATGAAGCCTCTCAGAAGACTGTTATGCTAGGTTCTTGTCTGTAATCATAACAAAGTATTATTAATAGTGTCAGGGGTTGACTTCTCCCATGGGGTGGATCCCAAGTTGGGTCAGTCTTTGGTTTGCCATTCCATCAATCTCTGCTGCATCTTTATCCCTACACTTCTTGAAGTCAAGACAAATTTTGGGTCAAAGGTTTTATGGGTGGGTTGCTGTCCCTCTTCCTCCAGTGGAAGTCCCACATGGCTACAGGAGATGGCAATTTCAGGCTTTTTAATCCCCACTGCTAGGAGTCTCAGGGTCACCCCCATAGACTCCAAGGAGCCTCCTCAGTCCCAGAGGTACTTCACCCTTAATTTCCATTCTCTTTTCCAGTCCTCTTCTCCCACACTCTGATTTCCTCACACCAGATTCCCCTTCTCCACCCAGTAGCTTCTTCAGCCCCTGTCCCAACCAGTTTTCTTCCTTCATCTACTTTAGATATCTATTTTATTTCCTCTTCTGCGTAAGATTCAAGAATCCTCCCTTGGACCATCTTTGGTTTCTTTGGGTCTTTGGATTATAACAAGGTTATTCTGTACTTTATGGCTCATATCCACTTATAAGTGAGTATATATCATGTTTGTCTTTTTGGGTCTGAGTTACCTCAGGATGAACTTTTCTAGTTCTATCCACTTGCTGATACTTTCATGATCTTTTTGTTTTTAATTGCTGAATAATATTCCATTGTGTAAATGTTCAACATTTTCTTTATCTATTCTTCAGTTGAGGGACATCTAGGTTGTTTTCATTTCCTAGGTATTATGAATAAAGCTGCTATGAACATAGTTGAGCAATTGTCCTTCTGGTATGGTGGTATATCTTTTGGGTATATGACCAGGAGTGGTATAGCTGGGTCTTGAAGTAAATTCTGAAAAAACAAACAAACAAACAAACAAACAAACAAACAAAAAAACACAAAACTAAAAACTCCACATTGATTTCCACAGTGGTTGTACAAGTTTGTTCTCCCACCAACAATGGAGTTCTTCTTGCTTCAAATCCTCTCCAGCATATATTTTCACTGGAGTTTTTGATCTTAAGCATTCTGATGGGTGTAAGATGGATTATCTGTTATTTTGTTTTGTAATTCCCTGATTACTAAGGATATTGAACATTTCTTTAAGAACTCAGCCATTAGAGATTCCTCTATAGATAATTCTCTATTTAACTCTGTACCCCATTTTAAAAATTGGGTTATTTTTTATTTTTTTGCTTTTTGTTTTGGTGTTTAATTTCTTGAGTTCTCTATATATTTTGCACATTAGCCCTCTGTCAGATGTAGGGTTGGTAGGCATCTTTTCCCTTTCTGTAGGCTGTCTATTGAGCGTGTCCTTTGCCTTGCAGAAGCATTTCAATTTCATGAGCCCCCATTTATAATTGTTAATCTTAGTTCCTGAGCTGTTGGTGTTCGGTTTAGAAAGTTGTCTTCCATGAGTTCAAGGCTATTCCCCACTTTCTCTTCTATTAGATTTAATGTTTTGGTTTTATGTTGAAGTCTTTGATCCACTTGGACTTGAGTTTTGTGCAGGGTGATAAATATAGATCTATTTGCATTCTTCTACATGTGGGCATCCAGTTAAACCAGCTTTCTTTTTTCCATTGTATAGTTTTGGCTTGTTTGTCAAAAAGCAGATGTTCAGAAGTGTGTGAGGTTATTTCTGGGTCTTCAGTTCAATTCCATTGATAAATCTGTCTGTTTTAATGACAATAATATGTGGTTTTTATTACTATTGTTCTGTAGTACAGCTTGAAATCAGGGTTGGTGATACCTCCAGAAGTTCCTATATTGTACAGAAATGTCTTAGCTAACGTGGGTGTTTAATTTTCCATATGAAGTTAAAGATTGCTCTTTGATGATTTGGAAAGAATTGTGTTGGAATTTTGATGGAAATTGCATTGAGTCTGTAGATTGCTTTTGGTAAGATGGACACTTTTACTATGTTAATTACCATGGGAGATGTTTCCATCTTCTGATATCTACTTCAATTTCTTTCTTCTGAGGCTTGAAATTCTTTTTTTTTTTTTTTTTTGAAGTTCTTTTTATACAACTCTTACTTGCTTGGTTAGAGTTACAGCAAGATAGTCTATATTGTTTGTGGCTATTGCGAAGGTTGTTGTTTCCTTAATTTCTTCCTCAGTCCATTTATCACTTGTATAAAGGAGGCCTACTTTTTTTTGAGTTAATTTTACATCCAGCCATTTTGCTAAAGGTGTTTATCAGCTGTAGAAGTTTTCTGGTTGAAATTTGAGGGTCACAGTTTACTATCATATCATCTGAGAATAGTGATATTTGACTTCT